TTCTTCAGAACTTCTTTGATATTAATTCACTGTTCTTGCAATTAGCTCTATTTACATAAAGCAAAGCGAAATCTATTCACTTTTGGTATGTTAAGGTATTCATTATATTCTTGTGTTATTGTTTAGTTGGTAGAAAGTAAGAGATTTAAAACCTTTTTCTCACTTTAAAGGAATATACTAAATAATGTGATTTTGTCAAACCTGCCTCAATTTAATTTTAGAGAGTTACCTTTAAAAAGGTATTTACATGGGAATAGCTTGACTTAAAAACACTTATGAGAAGGCAATTATTATGGAAACGAACAAGCATAGAGTAAAGTCAGATTGAGAAAGCATGACGAAAACCAAAAAATCCCCAAAACCAACCAACCAAAAAACCCCTGTAAGTCATTTACTAATAGCAGGAAACTGGCTTATAAGCTCAGGCTGGCAAAAATGTAATCTAAATGTGTCTGTAGATCATAGCTTAGGACCTGTGTTTCTTAAAAGTAGACTTATCTCATGATCATCTGTGTACATGTACAACCACTGAAAATTTCAGTTCCTTTAGTTCTGAATTTCATCACACTGGGACCACTGTCAAGGCCAGTGCTTACACAAAACACAGAAATTGTCAGTCTTCCAAAGACCTTGGAAGAGGTCTCCGTAACAGCTTTATATTGTCTTGAAAAGGCTGAACAAGAATGTAAATCTGTCAGTTATGTTTAATCAGCTTTCCTTCTGCAGCAGTATGTTGAGTTTGTTTGAAGATCTCTTAGACAATTGAAATTACTATTCAATGGAAAGAATTATTGGAGAGATTGAGCAATGATAAATATGCTGCAGCATCAGAAGCCTGCTGATAAGAGTTGGCACTTGCATTTGAGCAGATTAGTTTCATTCAAGGTCTTCTTTAAAGTGGAAAATAATTCTTTTCCAGCAGGGGTCCATTGAAATGTTTTGTTTTGTTTAATCCAGTGTAACCTAAACTGCAAATTCCAAAATGGGATATTAATGATACATTTAATTGGTATGTTTTAATACCAGCTCTTGAACTGAATGATGTTTTTGCAGGAATAAAGAGACTCCTAGCAGGAGCATTACTTTCTGCAGGTTATTTTGCACAAAAGTTTACATTTTAATAGTGATAGTCTGGAGTATTTCTAACAGATCAGCACTATGTGAGACTCAGCAATACAATTAAGTGTTTTCCTTCTGCATATGGGCATTACTAAAAACTTGAGTATTCTTCAAATCAGTGCCCTTGGAACATGAATTCTTTAGTGGCATGAGTCATCAAACAAATTAATAAATTGTGTTTTCCTTCTTCTGTATATGAAAATGTTCAGACAATAGTGTAAAACAAAAAGGTACTATATTTTACCTCTGTAAGGAGGCTGTTTAATAGTATGGCAATTTTTCCATAGAAATTAGAATTTAAAGTTCATGGGAAGTCTCATTTAAAAAAATCTACAACTCCTCAATTGTAAGAATTAAAAATTATACTTAGAGAAGGCTATTAGCTTTTACAAGTACTCTGAAAGGCCAAGTTAATCTTTACCTTATACTGCAGTCAAAAATATGGAATCTGCTCATTGCTGCAGAAACTCTTTTCTTTTTTTTTTTTTGTAGCAGGTTTTTCATTAGAGCTAAAACATGCCAGGTAGCAAATTTGACTGAAGTTAATTTCTGCATCTGACCTTTCTCTTACATCATTTCTAAAGCAATAAAATACTAGAAAAAAAAAAAAAAAAAAAAAAAAGAAGAAATCTGTTTCCATTGAAAATGTTGGTCAGTTTGGGTTATTTTTTAAAAACAATAATAAAGGGTAGGATTTTTTTTTCTAATATTGCTGGGTCTGCTGTATCAGTGGTATGATATTTGCTGCAGAGTTGTTACCAGCTGTAGCACAGAGATTTGAAGAATGTTGTACTAATGAATGAAATTAAATTAATACAAGGTGCACCAAAGGAAAGACAAAAATTAGAAAATACTCCTAAATTTGTCATTGTTTTATGCAGCAAAAATAAGTTGAAGCTTTCTCCTTAGTGATTACCTAACTAGTGATCATTCTGTACTGTTTATAAAATGTGTTTGGTGCTCTGTAAATATTACCTGAGAGGATGTGCTCTTGTTAATAGAAATTCAAAGGCAAATTACTTTAGGTGTACATTAGCATAAGAAAATATGATTTTTAATCATCATTGAACAAATATCTCAAAGTGAGATGATGTTTCCTTCTTAAAACATCTGACACTTGAATCCTACAAAACCACTTTTTGTCTTGAGTTGGTGGGGTGGCCAGTACAAAACACCCATAGTGAAAATCTGAAGACAATATTCTAAACTTGAGGAAAAAAAAATATGTATATCTGAAAAGTCTATTCGCAGTAAGCATTCTCATATCTTTATTATAATATTATGAACTGCAGGTAGTAAAAAAAATCAGTCAGTCCCCAAAGAGTAAATAGATACATTTCTTTCTTTTTTCCCTAAAATTTAGAAAGATTACTAACAATCTGATTCTTTGCCATGGACATAGGATTTGGTATCATTTTATGGGGATTGGTTTGTTGTTTATTTGTTTGTTTTTATTTTAAGAAGAAAAGAAAGGCTGTAAAGGAATAGACTTAGAATTTCCTATGACTGTTTTGCACATGTTTTAAAAAAGCTGGAAACCTTTCATACAATAAATTATTTTAGGTGTCACTCACATTCATTGTTTATAATGTTAATTGAAAGGGTCTTACAGAGATCTTTGTTGGTTAAAAAAAACAACCAATAGCCTTGCAAAAAACCCCACCAAAACCAAAAACAATTTTGTTTACAAAAATCCTACTGAGTATCTTCAAACTCCTTCCATGTTGTTTTGATATAAAAAAAAATAACTTGTGAAAGAGGCATCAATTAAAAATATGGAGCATTAACTCAATATCAGCTGTGGTTTTTAAACTTGCTGAAATGAATAGTCAACTATGGATGCAAGGTCTTCTGTAAACTTACCCTGTTGTGTTGCCAAAGCACTCTTGAGTTGAAGGACAGGTCCTGGAGAAGCAGCACTCTGTCAGCATGTGCTTTAGCTCGTTTAGATCAGTTATAGGTGCCCGTGGTACACAAGTTCACTTTCATTTCACCATGTTAGAATTCAGACAAGTGAAAATAAAGCATGAAGAAGTACTGGTTTAGGTGTTTCAGTTATTGAGCAAAATTGTCAGCAGCTTAGACCAGCCTGCAGAAAGAGGGGAGAGTTGCTTGCTCTGAGGAATCCTCTTTTTATCATCCCTTCATCTGGATCTGACTTCCTGTCCTGCTATCATTTGAAATTTTGTCATTTAGGAAGCCAAGGTTCACCTGAGACTGTTTTGGTCACTTTTGGCAATTAGTGGTGTTTCAGGCTGAACAAGGAGTCCAAACTCCTTCAGAATTCAGTGCATTTTATTCCCTGTCTGTGCAACTGATAATGCCCTCACCCTCATGCAAGGGGACTGGTGCATCTCTCATATGGGGAGAAGCTGACAGAGCTGGGTCTGTTTAGCCTTGGGAAGACAACGTATAAATACCAGACTGTGGACAGTAAATACGATGGAGCCAGACCTTTCTCAGTGGTGCTGAGAGAAGGGGCAAAAGGCAATGGACACTAACTGAAATACAGGACAATCTGTTTAGACATACTGTGATGTGCCTAGAATAGCTATTGGCGTTACGTCTGACCCACTCTGCTACTTTGCCTGTGTTACCAGAGTAATTCTTAGTAGCAGGAAACCAAAATGTCAACTTTGTGGTTGCCTCTCTAAGTATTATAAGTAATATAAGTAATAAGAGATGCCAGCATGTAATTTGTTGTTCATATGAAAAATTAATTGAAATTGCCCAGGTACTTTCACTGAGGTGATAAGGGATGTTTTGGAAGTGTTTGTTTTTAAAAGAAATTCTGAATAACTTTTTGAGAATGGTTTCGACATGTGTGAGTTGCAAAGCTAAGAACTTCCCTTGAGATATCACCTGATATAGTCAACATATGGTGGGAGTCGATGAACACTTTTCCTGACAACTTGTAAAATGCACATATATATTATTAAACACCTGTTATCTTCCATCATTTGATACGATAAGTCATAGCTTTCCAGTATAAAAATGCATCCTTAGAGTTCCTTTTCACCCAGTACTCAAACACTCATACACTGGATCAATAGGAAATTGTGATGTTTTAAAAATTCATGTTTTAACATATCTTTTTCTGGAGTTTTTTGACTTCAGCAGTATAATCATGGCGAGGCAATAACAGCTTGTATACTTGTATATAAAATTCTCAGTAATGAAATGCTTGGGGAGCTTGGCATTTTCTAAATAACATTATTAACAGCTTCAATTTGGAATTGATGGCGTGATGCTACTGGGTTGTCTGTGATATTCTAGAAACTAAAAGCACAGAAAGTCTGATATTAGTGTTTCAAAAATGAAATAACCTTGAGTCGTTCAGATGTCACAGACTAAATCAAGTGCTGCCCTTTTTTGCTGTGCTGGGCTAATTATTTCTAATGTAAATGTCAGCGCAATGAACACTTATTTGCTGTGGCATAGCAAATAAATGGCACGGAAACTGAGCATATGAAGAAATTCATCATGTCCTCAACTGTCTATTATATTGCCTCAAGTCAAGGGTTTAGAAAACATTTCATATTTTAAAAAATATTTTAAAAGTACTTAAAGTAAAAATAAAGTTGCAAGACACTAAATATTCTGTATTGTGATTTCCCCTCTTTTTGAAAGATTCTAAACTTTACAGCCTTTATCACCTTCTCTTGATACCAGCTAGTAGTTCTCTATGTTTTACTGAACAACCTTTGCTTCATCCTCAGTGCTTTTCAACCTTATTGTGATATCCCAGTCTACAGCAGTCATTCATTTGAAGTGTGTGTGAAAGCCTCAGTGTAGGATGAGGTTCTCCAAATGTCCTTCTGGCTCTCTTATGTCTCAGTTTTCCACAGGCATCCCTCATACATCCTTGAAGTGCTGCTCGGATGGACAGCATTTTGGCAAGTAGTGACTGGGCAGCAGCAGTGCAGGACCGACTGGAACCATCTGTGAATGGCATTGAGTGCCCTGGTAGGCAGGGTGGTCACTGCCCATCCTCCCCACACTCCCCCAGCCTTCCACTGCATCAGCTGCAGCCAGTGCTGCAGGCCTAGAGGGACAGCATCCTGGAGAAGGACCCTGAGAAACATGTAGCCTGGGTGTTCAAAACTGTCAGCTGATGTTTTCGAGCTGTGTGATGCCTGCTCCTGGTATCTTTGGGAAAGATCGTTGTGGATCCAAACCTCTAGGTGTGATGCTTTTATTTTATGGCGATGGGAACTTCACACTGCTTAAGGACTGTATTATACATATTTGTTCTGCAGAATACTTGAACACAGATCTCAGTTGTATTTGACAGTTTAGATGTAAGACCTTTTTTTTCTCAGTCCAACATTGAAGAGATACGGGAAAGGAGAACCACACAGATGATGTTCAGAGCTTAAGCATAAAGGAGTAGAGATGAGAAAGTGTGATGTTTGGATTTTATTCGTTTTCTACAGATCAAGCTGCCTTATCTTAAGCACATCCTTAAGGAAAATAATATTTTGGTTTTATTATCTAATATCCTCAGCCAGTCACTGTACCAGAATGGATTTTGTTTGAGGAAGTGGGAGAATACTTGACTTCAGATTTGGGTACTTTAGTACCCAAAATGTTAAACTTTGATGGTCTTATCTTAAAATTCAGCTTAAACAGTAAAAAGGGGAAATTTTTTAAAAATACTAGTTTTCATGACCATTGTACCTTGTGGGGAAGAACTTCATGAAAATGGCTGTCTTCCTATGCTTGTGATAATACCAGAACAAAAATTTGTGAAATGGACATGGAGTGATTTTGCAGCTGATGTGTCATAAATATATGGTGATATATCACATGAAAACACTCCTTAAAAAGTCATTCCTAACTTTATTCTGATAAAGGAATTAATTTAATTGCTCACTAGGTTCTGATTTTTTTTATAATTGGACTATAATTTTTATAGTTGGACAAAGCTTTGAGTCCTGGAAGTTACCTGTGTTAGGAGGATGGAAAAAACAGTGAATTACCTGGTTTACACAATTACGGTTTATGCAATGCAAACACTATCCAGAAAGTTTTATTTCAAAAACAAAGGGGAATCAAACATTAGTTATTTTTATAAATATCTTGAAACATCCCTGAAGGTGTCTAATCTTGGTACTTCTTTACTGCGTTTCTTTCCCATGTGCATCTTTCCCTGAGCAGGAAAAAGTGCCTATGTTCTAGGTAAGACTATTTTCTAAAATTCATTAAACAAATGGAAGTTGTTGTGCTGATCAGCATATGATGGCTTTTTAATGCTGTTTTTGATTGTATATTGATGTTTAGTAAAATAACCCTACAGCTAGTGAGCAAATCCTCATGCTCAAAGCGAATCTGTAATTGTTGCTTCTTTTTTTAGAAAGGTACATTTCCACTGATTTATCATCTTCCTTGCCTGAGTCCCTTCTAATTGTCTGCCTCCACCAAGTGAAATTAAAAATAAATGAGTTATTCAATGAAGACACTTGTTTCTAAGTTCAAGCTTTCGAATGTCACAGCAGAGAAGCTTTTTTCCCCCTCTGAGGGATCTAATAGTCTGTGAGTGAGTTTTTGATAATTGTGCTATTTTTGGCCCTTATCATATTCTCCGTAATTGAACCAGATGTTGAGTCTTCTCTAGAGAAGGATCTTCTGAGACTGTGTAGTACTGTATCAGTCTTGCATCCCAAAAGGTTTGAGTTTACTGTGAAAATGAAATAGTAAGACAGATGCTGTAGGTAATGTTGCCATAGGTGGGTAGTCCCTTTTGGACTGAAACACTTAAAAATGTGCAACTCACAGCTGCAGACTGTAACAAATGGTTGGATGATAACTCGTAGGATATTTTTGACAGCCAGTCAAAATCCTTTGTATGCAGAGTGATATTTGCTATAATAGTGCTGATATGATAAAAATGGTTATTGAGTTCAAGAGGCTAAGGGCTGTAGAGGCAGACTGCATGGCTTAGGACAGCCCTGAGTATGTTTCAGCTAATCAGCTGTGCTGCCTTCTCATTCCTACATATTGATATATCACTAAAGAATACATACAAGATTTACTTCTATATTAGGGTGACTTACTGGGGGAGCAAAGGTGCCTGAGCCACCTTCTTTCTCATACATTGATTTCCAGTGGAAAGAAGCCCTACAGCATATGTTGGAAGGAACTGTAATGTTCTGCAGCCATGCTTACCATTTCTTAGCTCCTCATGTATACCAAAGGGTATTGTTGCCCTTGCAGTTACAGATGCAGAACTAAGATTTCACACCAAACTTGCAATGTTGCTGTTATTTAAATAGAGGAGAACCAAGAAAGTGAAAATAGCAACCATGTATTCTCCAAAATACTTTGTCTCCTATGATCTATGGCTCAGTAATTTTCTTAGCCACATATTAATAATCCTTGATAAGTTTTTCTTTTATGGGCTGGAACCCAAGCTTATTTGATTATTTGTTTAAATGTCTAAACTCCATTTTGTTCTGTAGTCATAAGGTATTTATATAATTAATTTAATACTTTTTAGTTATACTTTACCCCTACAGTGAAGAATTCCTTTTGTTGCGCTCTTTAATATTTCTGCTTATGCTGTGTGGTTAATTTTATTTCTGTTTAGACCATCAGAATCAGGACATTCTATCTTGTGAATTGATTTCATATTCACCTACTCAGAACTTGCCTTTCTGAGATTGACCATAGAAGTTGGGATGTAGTTTCTCGACTATTTTGTGCGTACCTACAAGTAGCAACGCTATCTTGGTTATTGTTTTCTGGCCATTTCACCAGGTAGTCATAGTCTATGGATAACAAAAACAGTTTGTGATTCAAAATAGTGTAAACTGTTGATGTATCCAAAAAGACAGAGAACTGAAAAAGAAAAATAGTATGTAGGGAGAAAACAAGGTTAGAAGATTAGAATAAGGTTATTAAGGCTATTATTGTTGTTGGTGGTGGTTGGTTGTTTTGTTTTGTTTTCCCTTCCTTCACTTACTTGCCAGCTAGAGATGCTTTAGAAATGGGGGTTCTTCCGGTCATCACCATCTGGAAGGAGGCATGTGATGATACTTAGATGGAGTTTTACAACAGAGCTTTTCAGCATTTTTACAACATCCGAGGAACTGTTTTAAGGTCTTTCAAAATGCAATTTATTTACCCTTAGGCAGAACTGATATGGAGGAACCAGTTTCCTCGAGTGCCTTTGTATGTTGATAAGCAATATAGCAACATCAAAAAGAAGAAAAAAAAAAAAAAAATCAGTTGCTGACAAGGGAGATATTTATTGAGTGACTAAGGGCAGTTCTGATTGCTTCAGAGCCGTAGCATTTTCCCTGCAAAATTCTTGCTCTTTCCAGAAAGTTTGACTATGAAACCCTACATCGCTTCCTAAGCCCCATTTTGTGGTCACTGCAGAAGTAAAACTCTAGTGTGTACACAGGATGAATTTCATGAGATCTAGTCCCTCTAAGGGCCACAATGTACACTCCCCATTGAGATTACACTATCTGAATGCCACTTCTGGGAAGCCACTTGTGAGGGCATCGTATTTAATGCCTGCTTCCCCTCCAGTGAAAGGATTTTAGAACTGCAAAATCACCATGATGTTGATTTCTCTTATGTTTTTTGATGATAGAGTGTTACAGGATTTATTTTTAAAAGCCAGTACTGTAAAATCAGTAAGAGAAGGTGGATGACTCCAACGTTAATTTGGTTTAGATACTTCATACATGGAGTTCAGAGCATCATTCTTACAAATGCAAAAGATCTTTGTAGAGCTTTCAATATTGCCAGCTAGAAGGCTGGTCAAATGTTGCTGCGATGGAACTGCTTTTCAAGTATCTTTTCACAGACCTTTTGATTTTTAACATGTATTATGGATATACCCTGTGTTCTGGACAACTTACTGGTTCAAACCTAGATTTAACAAAACTAGAGTTTTCATGTTACTCCTAAGCAGCAATGAATTGCTTCCTCTCTTTATTCAGCATAGTTATAGCTGATAATCTTCTTTCCTTATCAAAATTTTTTCCCACTTTTTTTGGCCACATTTTTCATAAATTAAGCATTTAGACAAAAGCTACCTTTATTTTAAACCTTCTGCAGCTTTGTATTACTTTGTACAGATCTGTTTGTGTTTTTTTTTTACTTCAAATGTACTTCTTATAATACTTTCCTATTTTATTTTTTATAAAATACCAGCATCTGTCAGAAAGAATGAGAAAAAAGAAAAGCTCTAGAAAGATTAATTTGCTTAGAAGAATAAAGCAGTTCTTAGCTTTACCCAAGAATTTGGACTCTGGAAAGGGGAAGGCAACTTACCAGCAACATGTTGCATTGGGGTTTTGTGCTGGGTATTTTTTGGGGTGGGTTTGTTTGATTTTTCTCCCCTTGACTTTTACCACAAAGAAAGATCTACATGATATGAAAGTGCTTTGAAGGTCTCTCAGCTCTGTGATTTAAAGGAGAACATTGGAAGATGAGCAACTATAACTCCAATTCTGCTCAAGTGATAATTTAAAGAAAAAATCAAGGTATTTCGTGAGTTGAAGCATAAGGCATTTTTGAAACCTGTTCAGTTTTAGAGGTCCATTTAACTTCTGAGAGCTTCGTGCCAAACAGTCATAGCAGGACACTGATGGAAAGAGAAATTTTAAACACAAGTTGCTTGTCAATAACTAAATCCATTGTTTTCTCACACTATTTTGAAAAATAGCTTCATTTACCATGGTAAAGTTGCAATATTTGCATTGGATAAATGAAATGTTTTACTCTTGGTGTTCTTCTGCAATAAACCAAACTGTGTATGCATATATATTTTTTTTTAATTTTTTTTTTTTAATTTTTTTTTTTTAATTTTTTTTTTTTAATTTTTTTTTTTTAATTTTTTTTTTTTAATTTTTTTTTTTTAATTTTTTTTTTTTAATTTTTTTTTTTTAATTTTTTTTTTTTAATATTTGTTTATTATTTTCACAGACACTGCCATTGGGGCTTGGAGATGGACAGCTTTTTACCTGGACAGATGGCTTGAAAAGGAAGGACTGGCATGATTACGAAAGCATTCAGAAGGATGCTATGCGGTCAGGTATACATAAGTTCAAAGCATATTTAAATTGTTTATTTATACTTTCTCCATATAGTAATTTTTTTTCTTTTAAGTCAGCTAAAAAGCATTCCTAGCAGCCTTTTTTTGATTGCAGTGTAACATAAGGACAAAATGTTCTGAACTAATGTGTCAGGCCAATCGCACGCACGTACCTTATCTCTGAAAGCAGTCAAGCGAAATTAAAAATAATGTTTCATGCTAATAGTTATATAATAATTCTACAAGGAAATGGGCAATAACATTATTAACAAATTTTTTTTCAGGTTGAAATCAGTTTTTATGCTGTGACCAAATATAAGCAAAAGCTATGGTCTCCCAAGGGACATACATTACAACTGAAGCTGTGTCATCTTTAAATCAGTGGATAAAACCTGAGCCTAGTACCTGGAACTGTCAATAATATTCAGTGTTATCCTAGGAACAAACTTTGACCTGTTTACCATTGTTGAACTTTTGTCTTGGAAAGCTACTTCACTTCATTCTGTCAGTCTCATGTTATTTTAAATTGGGAGCAAATTACATTTGCAGATACAGTAAGGAACACTTTGTTACAGTGGTTAATATAGTTTTTATGTGCCATCATGTGCTGTGTGCCATATGTGCAAAAACAGGTTTGTGTTCTTATTTCTGTCATCAGAGCGTGTTCAGATTAGAATCTTTCTTTTATAATGTAATTTACTACTATTCAACATAAGATGAATTAAAGTAAAAGGAAGGGAACCAGCAGTTAAATTGCATCCTAATCAGTGTCTGAAAGTCATTAATTTTCAAAGGCCCATCTACTATTATAAAAGAAATTATGCTGTCTGGATCCCACTGTCACAATACAGCCAATGCATGCCCCAAAATACCACTATAACTGAATCCTGTTGACAGATTCATAAGACTTGGTAAGTACTTCATTTTGCTGGGGCTTGAACCTGTAAAATATTTCAAGTGTAGGTTAATTTTATAAATTGTTTTCCCTTTCTCTCTGGAATGTTTTTGATCACTAACAAAAAAAAATAATTATCCTACTCTCCCACAGGTGTTTAGGAGGAAAAAAGTTGGGGAGGGGCTATGAAATTATTTTAGGCATCTTAGGAGCTGTCAGATCCATGTTAATTGTCTTCCAAATTACTAATTGTGAAATGGCAAATATCTAAGAGAGAATGTACAAAATACAAGCAACACATATGTCAAAACATGCAGCTATGTAGGGAATATCACATTATCTGCTTAGAATAGATTATTTGAGGGATTAGCACTGATGCTTTGACAGTGCACTTTTGATTCCTGAGTATACAATCTGGACCCCAAATATTTTGGAAAATAAGTAGTAATACTTAGAACTATCTCATGGATATTAACAATGTAATGCAAGCCATTGCACTGAGTCAACATAGAAATTAGCAAAACATGCTGTGTAGCTTTTTAATTCCCAGTGCTACTCCTGACATAACCATAGTTGAACACCCTCATACGTGAATGTTTTTTTCCAGTAAGATTCCATCCTTGGCAAATAATAATAATAATACATTACCTTAAAATATTCCGACTTATCTATGCTTTTATCAAATTCCTTGTGATGGTATTTGCTGACTTTGGCCATTTAAGAAATATTTTAAATTATTGCTAATTATTTATTAATTTATTAACTTGTAGTGATTTTTTTCTTTGAAAATCACAATATAGTAATACAAATGTAAAGTAAGAGTATCTCAGTGCACTCTTTGGAACATACTATGTAATTTCTGTTCCTAATACCAAAACAAAAGAAAATCAACTTTTAGTTAAAAATCAGTCTGAAGGCATGAAAACAGCACTAGTGAGAGGGCTTCTCAGAACATATCAGAAAAGGCAGTCAATGCTAGTTACAAAGGGACGAAGTAATTTTTTTAATTCACTTTAATTGTTTATCTGTGAAGTTTATAATTTCCTAAGCATGGGAATGTGAATTTCATAAATCTAATTATGGAGAGGTGCTACTTTCTTTACGGCTAGTTTTCTCCAGAAATGATGATGCAATACCAGCACAAATGGTTACAGTTTAATAAATTATTTCTAACTAGTCAAATGCAAGGTCAGTGAAACAGATAATTCATGCCATCCCCATTAGGTTATTTTCTTGCAAAGATAAAATTTTGGGGGGATCCACAGGTTACTTGTAAAGTATTTTCTTCTGTGAATAAAAATATTAAAGTGGTCCTAGATAGATACAGAAAAATTAATCTACATGACACTGAAAAAAGTATTATTTAGTGAGTGTAGATAGAATACCCAACCTTTCTTAAAGAAATTATGTATGGATCTTAGCTGAAAAAAGAATATTACGTTGAATGCATCATGATGTTTTCCAAATAAGACATCACAGGTTTCTTTGTTTCAAAATTAGACTTTTTCTAGGAAACTGATAGCTTTAAAATCCCCAAAATTGAGTGCTTAGGGTTTTTTAACAAGTAATTTTTAAATCCCCCGACTTATTTTTTTCTTTGTCCAGAAAATAGGAAAACAGTTATTCTTGTGGTTCTGATGCTTAAATTACCTGTGTAGAACTTAGAAAATCACAGGGCAGCCAGGTGACACACTGAAATGATACTGCTCCAGGTGATTGAGAGCTGACTCTGTCATGTTTTAAAAGTTTTCCTCATACTTATTTGTATTGCTGAAGGTTGTTCTTTTTTAAAAAAATAAAATAAAAAAAAAAATCCAAACTAAAACCAAACTAAAATAACCAAATAAAAAAAAAGCAACCATACTGAGATAATAGTATTAAAGATATTTGTGCTGTATATTATGTTTTGGTTTATGTTCCTTGAAAGGCTAACCAAAGAGTATCCATATTTTAAATGGGCATATGAACAGACTAACCAGTGTCTGTTCCCTCTGTTACGGAAAGGAAAGGCTGCAACTGGATATACTGTCCATTTAGGAAATAAATTTCTTGCTCTATTCAGATACTTTAATCTAGCCAAAGTTTTCACTTCTACTCATTGTCTCTGCAGGTATTCTATTCCCAAATTTCTAATTCTGTCTGAGATCTCACTAGTTCTTTGACTGCTATCTTTGACAGGTTAATTGTTAATTTTTAGTACACTATCATGCTACTCCTGCTTTTTTAATGAGATAGGAAAAGCACCAAACTACTTCTCTAATACCAGTTAATTTGCTAGTTTACTTGCAGTGTATTTCTCTTTCCAAAGTTTTAATGGAGTTAAAGTCTGTGTGGAAATAAGACTTCCAAAACAGTTCTAAAAATTTTAGTTAGTTCATTTTGATACAAGAATGCAAGAAGCCAACAGAAGGAATGTGCTCTTGGGTTGCAGAAGAACTAATTGCTATACTGTTCGTAGAACAGGAAAGATAGCCAATTAGTTGACAGTTAGCCAAGGCCTGATTTGCTCAAAGGCAGAAAGGAGCATTTAATGACTTACATTAAATATGCTGCTCATCAGCACCGAATAGGCATAGTGAAATGAAAATTATTTCATTCAGTCATCCCAATCACTTCCTTTTTTTTCTGTGAATATTATTAATGACATGAGAAGCAGTGATTGAAATGTAGAAAAAAAGGTTTAAAATGTTAACCTTAAAAAAAAAATAAAAATGTAATTCCTAACTAAACAGTTCTGAGAGATTCTTTAGGAAGAAAAAAAGTTTAATTGTTTCCATGTTCCTAAGTAACCCATTTAGACAATCAAATATTACAATCAGGGGGAGCAAACAGAATAAGCTAATGAAAAACAACTTACATTATTGAAGCTGATACATCATGCTATCTTTTTCATAAGAAATCAGCATTTAAACTAAGAGTTGTATTCTCAGAGAAAAATAAATTAATAGAAACAACTGATGACATGCCTTGATGAAGAATATGCTTAGTTTGCATTAAAAATACACGAACTATAAATAAACACAAATCTCACATCTGTCAATTTTTGTTTCAGCAAGTAGTAAACAATGTCTTATGCATATCAGAAGAGTGTTCTTGCATGGCAGTTCAAAGTGCACCATGTAAATGCAGCTGCATAGTAATAACCTTGGTAGCTACCAGTGTGAATATTAGTCCAGCTACAGCAACACTGATGGTATCAAGGCATGTCTGGATGCAGTAGAGATCCTGAAGCCATTTATTGTCATTTATAAGCTACTGATTTGACAAGTCTCTTGGTTTCATCAGAAACCTTAGTACCCTTTGGTTGTCTGGGGAGGCCTCTGAGGACATGTCTATCAATATGTTTTTTTAGGAGCATGGCAACTGCTGTGGCAACAATGGCCACCAATTTTCCAGGGTTTCTGTGCAGAACTAGGAGCCTGTGATCCTTAAATGCTCTCACAAGGTACGAGTTTCACAGGAGAGAGCCATGAAGGCCAAATGCAGTAATTTCAAAGAATCTATGAGAAGAAATTTTGTTGATTCTATCTGTCTTTGCGTCCTGAGTTTAAGAGTCCTAGAGAATCAGTCATTGTTATTCCATTTCTGAAAGTAACTGTATCTATTTCTCTCAAGAACTTCTTAAATGTTATGTACTGTAATGATGAATTACACCCCTTCTCAGATAAGAGGAGGGGTTCAAATACATGATTCTTGGGCTTTTAAAGCACAGATTGACTGTTTATATATAAATGTGGTGTTATTTCTGATCATGAAAAGTATTTCTACCTAGAAGTGATAGCTTTCCTATAGTAAATTACTGCAAAAGGGCAACTGGAAGAATAAACAAATGGAAACTACCCAGTTGAGTAGAACTGATGGGAAACGAAAAGTAAGGTTTAATTTCTGGAAATTTCTTGATCAATTCTATTAATGAAATTCATAGCCTACCAAATGATGTAGAAAGATTGTATACCTCCAGTTCTGTAATAGTTTTCTGTTTTCAATTTCTGTTTCTCATTGTTTTGGAACGGAAACATTTCAAATTACTGATCTTTAAGTACTGTCTTTTTTTTTTTCATTATAATGATTTGGAGATATTTTTGACTGCTTACATGTGTATGTT